CCCCCCTCACCGTTGCGAATGTAGACGTCCCTCCCCCCCCTATCCAGCACCACCGCCCGTGCCCAGCAACGAGGGTACCCGAAGTCGGCGTTCTTGTAGTCGAACGCGTGCCGCAACGGCGGCTTGCAGAGCGAGTCCGAGCTGCACACGCGGCTCTGGTCCTGGGGTAGGAGCGCGAAGCCGAGGCGCACTTCGCGAGAAAACCCTGGTTCCTGCATGTACGAGCGGGGGCGAAGCAGGAGGGTCCTCATAATGAAAAGAGCAGTGTTGATGTAACGGTGCGTGTTGAATCAAGCAGTCCTGAAGGCGCGCCTACTCTTTGTGAACACGGCCCCATCGACGGCTACTACGCCAGTTGAAGCGCTGGTCAACTTTTTCTTTCCATTTTCATGCAGGCCGCCGGATGTATAGATTGCCAAAGCAGAATGCCAAAAAAAAGAGCACCGCATCGATGGTCCCATGTGAAGCTCTGGCCTTGTACCGGCTGAGCTTCCGACGCTAGACGTTTCTGCGAAATATTTGAAGTTTTGGAACTCGCTCCTGGAAAGAAAGAGGTGGTCATTTTCCGTCCGTGCTCCTCACCGGAGACACACATGTCCCCCCCAACGCTCCTGTGCAAAAAATGCTGTGAATGTCAATGACATGACCAAGATTCCTTCGTGAGCACAGCAAAGCCACGCAAGGATGAGTTCGGGTTAGACAAGAAGCGTCTCTGCCTCTCGTTACTGAGAGGTTTCGCGCTACCAGAAGCGTTGAAATTGTCTGCTTGACCTCGCCCAGCTGAAAAAAAAACAATATACTTCCTGGTTGCCAAAAGTTGAGCAATGAAAGGAGAAGTAATACTTCGAAGTACGTATACAAGAGCAAAAACGACGGGCATGCGTCACACACACGAAGAAGAAGGTGCGACTTGTATGAGCATTGCTTGTCCGCCCGACCTGGTCTTTCAAGTGGTCTTTGTTCACGTGCTCCACGAACACGCTCAGGTTCCCGTAACTCTCAGAGCTGTTCCCGTTCGGCATGATCATGAGCCTCCACTCCCACCCCTTTCTGTCGGTTACCTGCGGCACAATCAGGAGGAAAATTCACGTCAGGAATGAAACGAGTAGAATGCGTACAGGAACAACAGCAGCACGTGCGGGGCAGGAGCACACCTGCTGCTGCTGCTCCCTCTTCGTCTAAACCGGCGAAAGTATTCATATGAATAAAACTCCGACATGAATAAAACTCCGACATGAATAAAACTCCGACTTAACTTTTTTGCGCCCCCAAGTGTGTGGTCGTTTCAACCCTGACTGCGTGTTGTGTGTTCACGCGCACCGCTTGTTACGCAACAAACATGACACCGAGATAAGGCATCGGGGACCCCCATGAACACTAACACGCAGCAAGCGAATGTGACCTTTGACCACCATGTTCTCCACGCACCGTGTGGCTGTGCTGGCGATCGTTGCACATGAGTGGTGCCCCCCTTTCGTCGAGAACAGCGAAGTCCCCCACGAAGACGATGCGGTTGTCGCCGACATGGTCCAGGGTCTCCGCAGCAGGGGGTCCCGACACACCAGCCGTCGGCTTTGCGGGGGGGGGG